TGTAAATTCCATTAATATGTTTTACTTGTGTCAGTTTCTATCCAAAAGTAAAAATCTCAAGATATATTAGAAAGAGTCAAAGGTTAGACCCAAATTATATAATAAGAAGCATATTGATTGTCTTTTGGGGCTAACAGAAATCTGAAGTGTACACAGAAGCATTCATTTTAGGGAAAAATGATAGATAGTTCTTAGCTACTTTAAATGCTAACTTCTTGAAAAGGAATAAAAAACATCAAGCACCATAAAAACAACAAAAAACAGACCAAAACAAAATAAGAAACAAAAACACAAACCCACAAGCCACCAAAAAATAATTAGGTGGAATATTCTCCTAAGGAATAATTTCAAATTCTGATTGAGGCAGGGTAGAAAAACAGGACCTCTGGGACAAAGTACAGTTCTGGAAATGTTCTAGGAAAGCAAATATTTGAACTGTGTATTTAATATTTAAACTGAAATAAAACTTTTTTATTTTCTATTTTTAAGTTCTAATTTTGTTTTTGTTTGGAAAAGACATTAAACTTTCATGTTGATTGAATAGTTAAGCACTAGGATGCATGCATGTATGCTCAGCAGTGTCTGACTCTTTGTGACCCGTGGACTGTAGCCCACCAGGCTCCTCTGTCCATGGGATTCTCCAGGCAAGAATACTGGAGTGGGTTGACATTTCCTATTCCAAAGGGATCTTCCTGACCCAGAGATCAAACAGTGTTGAGTGGCTTTCACCTGTCAGTTGACAAAGCTGACACCCCAAATCCTTCCTTTTGTAAACAAATAGCCACTGACAACAAAATCTGCTGTAATAAACAAGAACCAAATCAAAGCGCTCATCATTTGCTCCTGAAAATCAGTCTGGCATTGAATTCTTCCGCTTTCTAATGGAAAATAGGAGCTTTAATACTTTTTGTGGAAAAGTGATTATTGGGAAAAATAAAGAATCCCAAAGAGCTAGAAAAGAAGAAAATATAACAGCCACCTTCTCAGTTGGGGGGCTTCATTATTGGCAATCCATCTTCACTGTGCTTTCCAATCTGCCCAGCTTAAATTGTTCAGCAGTTAACTGTTCTGCAGGGAAGACCATCCTTCCCCGCAGAAACCACTCTCATCCTCACATTGTAGAACAGTCCACTAGGCTGAGAAAATGTTGTGTTACACTTATAAAGGCAAAAAAATAAAAATAAACAAAACAAAAAAAAACCCCAAGGTGGTAGATGTAGGTGATGATCTGAATAATTCAAGCAAAACGACTTTACATTTCCCTCTCATTACCTGAATGGCACATTCAAATATGTTGCTTTACCCGTGTGAGTGTACATGTGCATTGTGAGGATGCTCCTGTGTTTTATCTACATAATTGTTTTCTAGCTCATGTTCCTGTATAATACAATTTAAAAAACTGGCTTAGTTAATGCGAAACACTGAAGACTTGTTAGTAAATGTACTACTTTCTTAGGACTGATATAAACTGGTCTAAACTTTGGTTTTTATGTGAGCAGAGTAATGAGATTTAAGATGGTTCATTGACAACATTAAAAACCAAAGCATCATTTAACTAGACACTTTGAAAAGGAAGTAGGAAACATTCTCTTTTGATCTAAATAGAACTAGACTAGGTTTATATCCTGGAATTGCTAAGTTTTAATCAGAAGAAATTGTAAAAGAAGGACTGGGAATGTCTAACGGCTGCTCTTCAAAGATTACCAGATATTTTATTTTAAAAGCCAAAGCTTTATTTTCCATAGATATGACTGGCTAAGTTGTTTACCTATTATCTCAACCCTTATCTCTGTCTTTTATAGTGTTTTATCCCCATAATGATAGAAATATGTTTTTACAGTAAAAGGTAAGTTAACAAAGAATTTGAGAAGGGATCATTTAGCCTGAACTTTTATTTTTGGTTCTTTGGATATGATTATACAATGTGGCAGTACTGTTAAGTTACGTGAATCTGAAGGTTTTTCACAGGCAAATTTGAGGGTGAAAATGTACAGATTACACGCTACCTCAGTTTTTGGAAATTTGAAGGGGACTTCAACAGAAAATTTTGAGTTTCACATTACAGTGTGTTTACCATCTGATTCTTTCTTATTTACAGACATCTTTCTGAATATTTTTAAATGTGATGGTGTTCTGAAGTCTAATTGTAAATATTTCAATGTGCATTTACATCAGATTATCCTTATCTCAGGTCATTCACACTTTGTCTTTCTACAGAAATTGAGGATGAAATTTCATATGTATATAAATTTCAGAACACTTCAGACAGTAGCAAGATCATGGAGAGAATTAATGTTTGCATTTTGAGAGCACTGATTTGGTATAGCAAGTATAATGGCATGGAGACTAGTTAGAGTCCTTCAAGTCTTCGAAGGAAATCACAGAAAGTTTTCAGTTATTGGCAGCCAAGATAAAAGTGATAAAAATGAGGTTTGTATTTGTTTTGAGTTGTAGCCCTTTTAATAAAGAATGCCCTGTTGTGGCAAGTATCCACCAATGCAAAATAGGGTTATCAATTACCACTCTCACTTCCAGAGTGTGATAATTTGCAGAGGAACAAAAAATCTGTCTACGCATTTTTACTACAGCAAACTGTGACTAGGTAAAAAGACTGGTGTGAAGGTTCTAAGTGAACACTCACATCCTATCACAAGCACTAATGTCACTGACTTTTAGATTGGCCCCAATTTCTCACATGTAGCCTGAAAATGCTTTATCATAAAGGAAAGGCATTTCTTCAATTAAAGAGTCCACAAAAATTGAGTTTTTAACTGATTTGATAACACAGTTAAGGATAAAACTGTTGGGCACATGAAGAAATCTTCACCATTCATAAATGATAAGTAAAATCTGGCCTGAGATATATATGATCACAGGAAATGAAAAATCTACATGATATATGCAGTTTAAGATTTATTTGTTACTTTAAGGCATATGCTGGGTAAATTAGGGACAGTATTGACTGGGTCTAGAGTAAGTTATAGCTATATTGTCCTTCTCAGTCATGTTTATGACAGTCTCTGTTGTGGCCTGTGGTATTCAGGCTTTGCAGAAACTGAAAATTTCTAAGATCAGAAGATGCATTTTGCTCTAACTCCATTGGTGTGAAATTTCTTTTTTCTCCGTCCAGCCTAGATGCAGCTTAATAGAGCCTGTCATGTTTGTAAGTATGAGCTGTGGTGGTCAGAAATTGGACATTTTTGTCAAAATGTGGAACAGTCATCTCCTTAATTTAGTGTTTCTAAAAGTGAGGAACACAGTAGCACTTTTGGAATGCAGGTCACTCAACTTCCCTACAGCTACCATCCAGCCACCAAATATCATTCCCTATTCTACATGCAAAGCAATCTGGGTAGAGCTGTAAGGATGTAGTATCTGTGAACAGTCTTGCACAATGCTCACCATACATACCCTACTAACCAAGCATACTGGTGAAAGAGAGTCCTTCAGTTAAAGAGTGATACATTCCCCTCATACTATCCCAGTGCACATCCCCTTTCTTCTTCCGTAATGTAAACTCATACCTACTTAAAAGTATGCCCCTGAACCCTGCACCTGTGTGAGGTACATGTCAATTTCCTTTATTGTAGACTGGGAAGGTTTATCTGGGGAGCTGGGATCAACAAGAACTTAAATGGGCAAGTTGCAGAGAAGCAGGCATTGGTGTGTTCTCAGGGAATGCTTTCATTCTTTTTAGTAAGATCCTGTAGTGGATAGATGTGCAGAAATCCAGTTTAGGCTCTGTGATCTGTTACACTCTCTTGAGATGAATGTTCTGTTTCATGGAAAAGGAATCATAAACTAGTGTGTTTAAATCAGCAGAATGGTACTGGGAGAGAGAGATTGGTTGGATTCAGAAAACACAGATGATCCTGTACTTATAATTTCATAAGAGTTGCCAATGATGCTCATTTACTGAATGGCCTTGAAACAAGAGGCCTCAGTAAAAAATTTTAAAGGTAAAGTTGGACTTAATATATGTGATAAAAATGCTTTTAGGCTATTTTCCTCCCAAGAATTTCATTGAAAGATTCGGCTCCTTCCAGAACGTTTTAAAAAAAGAAATAATGAATGGAAATTTTCATATTGCTATAAAGTTGAGAATTGTGTTTGAAGAAGAACCTTGGGATGCTCTCTCTGGGTGTTTAGTTTGTCTGGTGGGGTGTGGTCAGGGCACCTCCAGAACCTCTCCCTGTTGTTGAGTGAGTGGGAGGTTGATGCCTGAGGGAGAGGACGAGAAGGCTAGTAGGTACAAATCTCCAATAGCACAGAAATTTCTGTTGGGCTAATAGATTCAACATGTTTCTCCACCAATACTTACTGTTTTTTGTGTTTTAAATTGGACTTTCAAAATAAAAATTAGTTGGCTTGTGGCCTATGTAGTAAGTATCAAATCAAAAGGTATGGAGGGAGTTGACAGGAAATAACTCAATGTCTCACATTATATAGACTCTTCCTTGAAAACTGGGTGATAAAGATCAATATATTTGCATTCACTTGATGTTCATAAAAATAAACTCATCTAATTTCAACTCATCTGGTCTCTTCCACTCCCATGTTTTCTGTGTCTAGTCTGCATTCATTAAATTGTAAGAATTAGCACTTTTATATGCTTTTCCTGCATAATATTTTACCTTTTTTCTGAATAATAATAGTATGCACAATACATAATTAAAATAAACATATGGTTTCCAATAAAACAAATTCAATTTTCTATGTGATAAAGATGAGAAGCAGAGTTAGTACCAAAATTTTGATAATGCAAAGCATCTGTAAACTAATGGTAGGACTTTTTTTTTTTTCCTATCTTTGTTGGAAAGCTTCTGAAGAGTCTTGTGAAGTATGTACTAGCATCCAGTTATAACAAAGAATAAGCAAGTTTGCTTTGTGTTATAAAAATATCAAAAGAGTAATAATTTCAAGGTTTCTTTTCCTTTAGAATCTTGCTACCTACCCTTATTCCAAAATATAAAATAATTTTTTCATCAAAATATATCATTGATGATAGCCATGACCCGTTGTTTTGCATCTAAAATTGATTTGACTTGAACGTTAATATTCACTAAGAAAAATTTGTACAAATTCTATCTACATTTCTTTCACACTCTGGAAAACAATTTCAAAACCAAAGCTTGTGAATGCTATATACCTTTCTTTGCAAGGTAAAGATAATCATTGAACCCATAATAGAGTATACCCTGGGGTTGCTTCTTGGTTTAGTAAAACACAATTCTTAGGATAAAATGTTGAACTTATGATGTTCAGAGATAGTAAACATCTTTGACTTCAGCAACATGAAAATTTTGAAAATCAGACTGTTTCCTCAACTGAAAACTTGTGGATGAAACAGATACAACCTTTCCAAACTTAGGGTGAGGTTATTCGATTAAAGTACACCAATCAGTGAAGGTGGTGACAGAGCAAAGAGGCCATAGAGAGAGGAAATTGGGTGGTAACTCACTGCAGTTCACACTTGAACTCAGACTGCCAGTGGCTGAGGTCAGCATGAGTGTCTCGGTCACCAGCAACTCTGCGCGACTGGGCGCCAGTACTGCCGAGGGCCCAAGTACAAATACAGAAAAGGGTGGAGTCTGAGAGAGCTTCTCAGATATTTGCTTGTACGTTTCACAGATTTCTTCACAAAAGAAAATTGAGAACTGCTTCCAATATCCAAAAAACATTTATAAATATCACCAAGCTACAGATTCAGTAAAGGATTAGCAAGAAGATCACTTTAACACTCAGTTAACTTGTGTGTGCACACGCATGTATCTGTGGGTTTGAAATACATAATAGAAATATTTGCCACATACTCCTACACTGCTCAAAAGTGATGTATTTCAAATAAACTGAGCAGTGTCTTTCCTTGCTACTCCAGTTAGTCACTACTGGTCTGGGGATGGGGAAAGTTTAGAGGGGAATCTAACACTCTTCACTTATCACCTGAAAGAAGAGTTAGAGATAGAGGTATCCCACCCAATAAACCAAGTTGAAGAGCAGGAATGATGTAGGGAAAAAGACTCGTGAATATGAGTCCAGTTCCAAGATGTCTATGTGAATATGTCCTTTTCTCCAAGATCCTGATTTGCATTCTTCATAGCAGCAGAAGAAACTCTGACAGTCTTTGCCATCCAAACACTCGTAGACACAGGTATCTTCTAATTCCTGCCAGTACATGGAATTGTTTAGAGTAACTGTTACAGGTGGTGGTGGCCTCATGTCAAGGAGAGAATAGTTCTGCAGATAACAAGAGCAACACAAAAATCATCATGAAATGCACCAAAGACAGCTCGAGAAGAATCAAGCAATAAACATAGATTATGCCTGTCCACAAATAATGATGACAATGCTATGCCCCATGCCTGCTCCCCCATCCCCGCTATGGAGAGTTCAATCTTTGCAAATCTAATGGAAAAACAAAAAACTAGAGTTCAGTTTTCGAAACTTGTGTTTCTCAGATTACTGATAAGGAAGATTCAGTATTTTTTCAAATGTGTATTAAACATTTCAAGACTCTGTTCTGCCTACTTCTCTGCTGATTTGGAGTATATATGCACACACATTATATGCAATTCTTCAAATGTTAAACAATACTTATATCAACTTGTGGAGAAATAAATTTCTTTCTAATTAGCAGAAAGTAAAAAAAGCTAATATTATATATATAAAACCAAAACCCATAATTACAGGGAATATGGTACCTTTTTCCTTCTACTTCCGGATATTACATTAATTGGTTATTTTTCTAGCTGTGTGGAGTCAAGTCAGAGAGAAGCAAGTAGACGTGTAGAGCATTCAGTGTCACTACTGGTTCCCTTTGGGGCATCCTTTTAATTGGGAAATGTCTGTGTGAGCAGTAACCTAAATCAAGATGCTCTGGGCCAATAGCCAGTCAGGGGCCATGGTGCAGCTGTCTACTTTCTTCTACAATTCTAGACAATGGGAAGAAATAAAAACCTTGGTGTCCCTCCAGTTCTAGTGTAGGTACATGTTCTCCAGGTTAATGGTTCTTAAACCTGAGTCGGTGTAAATTTCACCTGGAAATTTGCTGAGAAAAGCAAATTCCTCACTCAACTCTGGTGCATTTGAAGAATTTGTTTCTTTTTGATAATCTCCAATTATAAAAATCTGTTTTTATTAAATAATTGTACACGTGTTTTGACAGTGTTCAGCCAGATTTTCATCCTTTTATTTCTTCAACCTTTTTTACCTATATAGTGTCACACAAAGATGTCCAGCCATTACAAGCAGGCAGGACCAACACGAGGAGCTGACTCAAAATGGGCATCAGAAGTCTCTGCAGGGATGGAGACAGCTCACTAGAGATTCAAAGGATGCCCAACAAGGTAACAGGCTAAAAAGCATACGTCTTCTAGGGACAAGGGAGAACTATATACCTCACTTCTTCATTTAGAGAACTAAAATCCATGATCACTGAAACAAATAGTAAGAGATCTCTAGTTATATCTTTATAGCTCACTGTTGTAAAATGACATATTACAATATTGAAATAAAACTTATAATGTTAAGAACCGTAAATAGCCATATGTTAAAATGTTTAAGTACTTCTTTAAATGCAGTCCTCCCATTTGTCAAGATAATTTCAACTATGCCCCAAGAGAGATTTTAATTAATGAATCTCCAGGGTCATCTTCAGCCCAGCTAGTCCCTGCCTGACTCACTCCTGTTTTGCTTCTTTGTATAATGCAGTTCCTTGACTTCCTCAGAACCACTGTGCTTCCTGGGCAACAAATACTACTGCATACTCAGAGTGGACTAGCCTTGCATTTTATGGGTTAGGTAACTGAGGCACAGAACTGTTTGGACAACTTGCCCCAAAGCAACATATGACCCTCAGGGGGCCAGCTCCTGCCCCAGTTACTGAGAGGCTGTTCATCTCTGCTTTTCCTTTTTGGGGAGAGTGACCCCTTAACTAACCTAACACTAGATATTTCGGAATAGAACTGAAGACATTATCATTCAACAGTTGAAAAATCCCAGTTTTTTTTTTTTTGTCTTCTGAACTCCTGTTGAAGACTCTCTGATTATGTCTTGCTAGCTGGCCTGGAGCCCTTTCTGTGAATTGTTTCTATATGTGCTTCCTTTAGGGTCATTACATTTTCCAGCTTAAAAATTTCTTCCAGTTTTGTGGCTATTTTTTTCTCTATGTTAAAACATTCTTTATTACTTTTGACTGTATCATTTCTATACCGAAGATATCAATATTTCCTCCTCCACTCTTAGCCCCCTGGCTGTGTGTGATAATGTATTTTCTGGGCCTCATGCTATTTGTTCTGACTTGTCTCTGTTATTTAGCATCCCCTACTTCCACTCCTTCCCATTACCTTTCAGTCTGTTGCTATTTGGCAGCATTTGCTGGCAAAATCTATGTCCACTGTGGCTTCCCACAGCTAAAAAAAAATGGCTTCACCTCTGTCAGAACTATAATGATACATACTAGCAGAGTATAGATAATTATACAATTTCCTGATGAAATTGACTAAAATGAACTGAACATAAGATGCTGATTAGCAGCTAGAAAACCACCTATTGTGTACAGGTGGGCATAAAACATTCAGTGCTATTTGTGACTTCTTATGTACAAAGGAATAAAAATAATTAAAGTAAAAGCTGTCATATGGTAAAAGTGGTAGCTCACGATCAGTAATTTAAAGACATGTTTTTCAATTTTTCAATAGAGTCTTACATTAAGCTATATACTAAAAATTCAGGTAACACTAATAATTAAATACAACAATTTTTTAAACTGTGAAGGTTCGGTCAATACTTATAGGACTTTAATTTTCCACATCTCACTGTCCTTGTCAGTAGAGTGGGTTTTTGTGAGCATAGAATGAGTTGATAAATGAAAGTATGTAGAATATGTTGTCAAACAGAGTTAGCACTCAAAAGAAAGTCAGGGAGAGCTATGTCGTTCTGAAAATAGGAAAGGACTTCCAAGCAGGACACAAGAGGCAGATACCACAAAAGGAAATATTGATAGATTTGACAACAGGAGATTGAAGACACTGCATGTGGAAAAAAGCACAAGAAATTGCAGTGACAGCATTACTAATGAAATCTGGAATAAAAACTACATAAAAAATCAGATTAATATCCCTAATATATTCTATATGTGATTATATAAATTTTACGTTGTATAGAATACAATAAATATAACTGGCAGATTGCTACTTTAAAAAACTTAAAGGATAAAAATGTTATAAAAATTGTACAAAAAATTTATAAAAACTAATGGACAGAAAAAGCAATTCACAGGAATATGTGAAAATAAAAAATAAACAAGTAAAAAAATGCATTAATCTTTATCAATAATCAAAGCAATGCCAGTAGGAATAGTTTGTAGCAGTTGTTTGTATATCCAACTATCCAAATAAATGCAGGGAGAGTGACCCACATTGAGCAGTGAGTGACTCACACTGCTAACAAAACTGCTGGAATGCGATTTGGAAAAAAAACATTCAATTCTTTGGCCCAGGCATTCTGCTTCTAGGAATTAATACTAAGAAAATAGTCACAAGTATGTACAAAACTGTAGTGATAAAAATATGTTTAAAAGTGAAAAGTTGTGGATTAGCCCAGTGTACAACCAAGATGGTCTGTGCGTGCATCAGTCATGAAAGTATGATGCAATCATCAAAATGATCCTACAAATTAATATTTTGACCAAGAAGTGTATTCAGAACATAATTTTGAGTTACAGAAATACGTATGCTATACACTAATCCCTGAGTAGAAGTGATTTATTTTCCAAATTTTCTAAGTTGAACATTCCTTTGTAAATACATTTTTTTAGGGAGTACATGCATTACTCTTTGGTCTTCAATAGATGCATCTGTAAACAATAATATTTTTCAATTTCATTTTACACAGAGTTCTCACAAGTATTTACACTTGCAAGGCTATACGTACAGAGGGGGCTTGTAGGCTTATCCTTTCGTGAATCCATCTTGAGGAATCTGCATGTAGTAACTACAAGGAAAGCAGAAAAAACAACTGAAAACTGCCATGGAATTTGTATTACAGAACACTCTGATAAAGAATAATCTTTAAGGTGTGATTACATCAGTCCATGCCACTGGTAGGTGAAGCTGAAGACTGCTTGACAGTCACATTCATATCTTCTGAATACCTATCTTGTTTTTTAAAAGTCTTATTAAATTAACTATTTATATCATGTTGTATAAAATCCTTATGATAAGAACCCTTTACCTCAAAATATTCTTCTACTACCTTCTGAGAAAATCTTTGCTACTGGAACTCACCGATGTTTTTTTCTTAGTGGTAGTTGGTTTTCTACAACTTGAATAGTAGTTGAGGGTAGCATACTCCATCAGAGCAGCAAAGACAAATAAGAAGCACACAGTCACGAAAAGGTCCATGGCAGTCACATAGGAAACACGGGGCAAGGACTTCCTGGCTATGGTGCTGAGTGTGGTCATGGTCAGCACTGTGGTGATGCCTGCACAGGGGACACATACCAAGTTGTAAAAGAAGCCAAACAGAATCCCTCCATTCCACATGGTGTTTTATTTTTATGTGAATCTTCCTTCTTGACACTGAGTAAAGGTCAATACTTTTAACTTTTAACTGTAATGTATATATAATATTACAAGCAACATTTCCGTAATACGTTTTATTATAGTCTCCACAATAACATTAAAATATATGAATTAAGTTGATATCATTCCATTTATTCAGTAAATTTTGTATTGTTTGACATTTTGTCTTTTAAATATATTTTCAATGAAAGTGAGGTTTGCAGTCCCCTATACTTCGGCTGTTCCTCATCTCACACTTTTCTTCTGCCCAGGTAAACTATTTCCTGTCTTACTTCTCTTTCTGTATGCAATTTGTAAACTCACTTTTTTTGAAGACTCAGCAGAAACACCACTTTTTCTGAGGCAAATCACTTTATAGTACTCCAGGCAGAGCTGATAATACACACATCTTCACTGTTTCTATACATTCTACGTTCCTCATTTTTTTGCATTATCACAGAGAATTGCATACGTCTTTGTGGTCTGTCTCCCTGAATAGAATGTGAGATCTTTAAAAGCAAAACTGTATCTTGCTCATCCTTTCTTGCCCATTACATAGCACCATGTCTAGCATTCTAACCATTTCAATAAAGGCTTTTTATGAGTGCATGAATTCATTGGTTAACTAGTTAACTAATCACAGTATTAATCTGACTTTATTTCATATATGTTGGCCAACACTAAAGATTTAATCAAAGACTGTGGAGCAAATTTAAGAGATATATATGTGATAGATCAGGTAGACATGACAGGGCTTCCCTTGTGACTCAGCTGGTAAAGGTAGACATGACAGATGAATGCACATTAGTTCCCATCTTTGCAGTAGCATCACAGCTCCTATTTAGTGCCTGTTTAGTGGTCTGTCAATCAGCAAGAAACTGTAGAACAAGTCAGATAGAGCAGCATGAGCAGCTTGAGGTGTACAGGATATTGAACTAGAAGTCAAAGCCTTCAGCCTTGCTCTGGGCCTTCTCAACATTTTGTAAGATAAAGCTGTTTACCCTCTTTGAATCAGTTTCTTTAATCAGTACAGTGAAAACAGAATGTCAGGCTCTCCTTACTGCAGGTGGGAAAGTTGCGATACTTTTTGTAAAAAATGCATTGTAAATTTGAAAAGTGTACACTGATGGCAGGTAAATTTTTATGAAAAATATAGATTTTGTAATAAATATTCAATTTAACATTCTAAAAAATGTGGTGACCATGTTATGTCTAAAGAATTTGTAGGTAGGGCTTCCCTGGTGGCTCAGATGGTAAAGTGGCTGCCCGTAATGAGGGAGACCTGGGTTTGATCCCTGGGTTGGGAAGATCTCCTGGAGGAGGAAATGGCAGCCTACTCCAGTATTCTTGACTGGAAAATTCTACGAACAGAGGATACTGGTAGTCTACAGTCCACGGGGTCACAAAGAGTTGGACACTACTGAGCGACTTCACTTTCACTTTCATTTTCAAGAAAATTGCGTTTTTACTAAATTTCTTCAAAAATTTTAAAAGTTGATTCCTTTTCTCTTTTCTTTCTTTCTTTTTTTTTTTTTTAGATGTGAAAATAGTATTTTAATAGTAATGGGAATACACAGCACCTCCTGGGCTGGAGGGTCCAGACAAGAACACTCACTAAGCACAAGCCTCCCAGGTACCAAAGCGCTTCCCTCACAACTCTGTTGTGACAAAGGTCAGACACACCTCAGGTCCCCCTCGAGGTCCCCCCAGGCCCTTGCTCCTTACATAACGAAGGTCACATGGACACTGCAAGTTTATCATAAGTTGCCAACAGCACTTTATTTTTTCTTTTCAACATCCTGTTCTGCGGCTTCCTTGGCCCTTTTTGCCCGGATGCCAAAGAGACGGGCGTTGGCGCGGGCCATGCGGGGACTAGCAAGTGCCTTAAAGTTCTTCTCCTCCTCTGTGATGACTCCGGCTTTCTCCTTCTTATAGACATTCCGTATTGGCATAACAGGTCCAGTCAGCTGAGTGGCCAGTTTGAGCTCTTCAGCAGAGCTGTCTCCCTTCTTGGGGGCCGAGGGCTTCCTGGGGAACAGGATAAGTTTGGAGCGGTACTCCTTGAGCCGCTGCACGTTGGCCTGCAGGGACTCCGTGCACTTGTTCCGCCGCCTCGGGACCACCGAGATCCCAATGGTCCGGGCCACCTTCTTGTGGATGCCGGCCACCCTAAGCTCCTCCAGGCTGAAGCCCCTGCCGGCGCGAACCTTCGTGTGGTACCTGACCGTCGGGCATCTCACCACCGGCCGGAGAGGACCCAACGCGGGGCGCGAGGCGATGCGGCGCACCTTGGCCTGCCGGGCCTTGCGTCTACGGATCTTGCGAGCCGGCTGGTTGAACCATGTGGCCACGCGCCGCTGCCAGTCCTTGTGGAAGTGGGGCTTCAGGATCATGCCATTCCGGCTGGGCGCCATGGCTGCGGCCGAAAGGCCTCCTCTGAGGGCTCACGGCCGGGAAAGGTCCTTTTCTCTTTTCATTTTGGAGTATCAGCTGAAGTTGTGTTATACACCTCTATATTGTCCCACAGACCACTGAGGCTCTGTTAATTCTTTTAAATCATTTTTAAATTCATATCTTCTTCTAATTAGATAAATTTTATGTGATGGTCAATTGTACATGATCTCTCCCCTCCCTGGCATCTTCAGTCTGCTTTTAAGCTCATTTAGTGATTATTTTCAATTTGACTATTATACATTTTATTCTAGAACTTCATTTTTAAGAAATGTATTTGTTGATACTATCCATCTGGTCATTCACTAACATTGTATTTTCTTTTTAATCCTTGAACCCTGTTATAAAAGCTGCTTTAAAGGCCATATCTGCTGATTCAACATCAGAGTTACATTTTAATGTTGACTTTTTTCCTTGATCATGGATCACAATTATCTGCTTCTTAGAAAGTCTAGTAATTTTTTACTGTATAGACAATATTGTAGATGATACACGATGGACTATGTCATTTTTTAAAAGAATGTTGAATTCTTCCTTATAATAATTAGTTGGTTTACTGGTGGTTTTGCTTGATCTTGTCATGGTATGATTTGTTTCTTTTAAAGGAAGTCTAGAGTATTCCTTTATTAAGCAGAGCCCTTCAGGTGTCTCAATTAAATATATTAGTGTTGAGATTTCTCCACTCTTCTGGTCAGCAAATCTGCTACCTGCAAGCATGTCATATTTCTAGTATCTCTGTTCTCTTAATGCCATGATGGCTACTCTTTGATAGGACTTGCATAGTTTCAAGTTGTGCAGACATATTACTCTGTTTTGAAGCTGATCTTTAAAGTCATACTCACTATGACATCTGAATTTGTCATTGTGAGGTCATAAGCTCAAGAATAGTTGCTAAATTTATGTTATGTCTTTGTCAGCTGATTTATCATGTATTTTCTATAAGAATGAAAAACCAACATTGGGCAGAAAGTCAGTTCAGTTCAGTTCACTTAGTAGTGTCCAACTCTTTACAGCCGCATGGACTGCAGAACACGCCAGGCTTCCTTGTCCATCACCAATTTCCAGAGGTTTCTCAAACTCATGCCCATTGAGTTGGTGATGCCATCCATCCACTTCATCCTCTGTTGTCCCTTTCTCCTCCTGCTTTCAATGATTCCCAACATCAGGGTACTTTGCAATGAGTCAGCTCTTCACATCAGGTGGCCAAAGTAGGAGCTTCAGCTTCAGCATCAGTCCTTCCAATGAATATTCAGGGCTGATTTCCTTTAGGATTGGCTGGTTTGATCTCCTTGCAGTCCAAGAGACTCTCAAGAGTCTTCTCCAACACCACAGTGTTGGATAAATTTACAGCATAAATTTCTTGGAGCTCAACTTTCTTTATGGTCCAATTCTCACATCCATACATGACTTCTGGAAAAACCATAGCTTTGACTAGACAGATGTTTGTTGGCAAAGTAATGTCTCTGCTTTTTATTTATTTTTTTTCAGTTTATTTATTTATTTATTTTTTATTTTTACCATTTATTTTATTCATTGGAGGCTAATTGCTTTACAATATTGTAGTGGTTTTTGCCCATACACTGACATGAATCAGCCATGGATTTACATGTGTTCCCCATCCCGATCCCCCCTCCCACCTCCCTCTCCACCCGATTCCTCTGGGTCCTCCCAGTGCACCAGCCCTGAGCACTTGTCTCATGCATCCAGCCTTAGCTGGTGATCCATAGTATACTTGTTTCAATGCTATTCTCTCAAAACATCCCACCCTCGCCTTCTCCCACAGAGTCTAAAAGCCTGTTCTATACATCTGTGTCTCTTTTTCTGTTTTGCATATAGGGTTATCGTTACCACCTTTTTAACTTCCATATATATGTGTTAGTATGCTGTATTGATCTTTATCTTTCTGGCTTACTTCACTCTGTATAATGGGCTCCAGTTTCATCCATCTCATTAGAACTGATTCAAATGAATTCTTTTTAATGGCTGAGTAATATCCCATAGTGTATATGTACCACAGCTTCCTTATCTGTTTTTTAATATGATATCTTGGGTGGTCATAGCTTTTCTTCCAAGGAGCAAGTGTCTTTTAATTTCATGGCTGCAGTTACCATCTGTAGTGATTTTGGAGCCCAAGAAAAGAAAGCCTGTCACTGTTTCCATTATTTCCCCATCTATTTGCAATGAAGTGATGGGACCCAATGCCATGATTTTCTTTTTTTGAATGTTGCATTTTAAGCCAGCTTTTTCACTCTCCTCTTTCACTTTCATCAAGAGGCTCTTTAGTTCCTCTTTGCTTTCTGCCATAAGGGTAGTGTCATCTGCATATCTGAGGCTATTGATATTTCTCCTGGCAATCTAGATTCCAGCTTGTGCTTCATCCAGCCTGGCATTTCACATGATGTACTCTGTATAGAAGTTAAATAAGCAGGGTGACAATATACAGCCTTGACATACTCTTTTCCCAATTTGCAATCAGTCCTTTGTTCCATGTCTGGTTCTACTGTTTCTTCTTGACTTGCATACAGATTTCTCAGGAGGCAGATAAGGTGGTCTGATATTCCCATTTCTTTAAGAATTTTCCACAGGACTGAGGATATTGAAGGCTAATTTACGTCGTTAAAAAAGTACTGTGCTGTTAAACAAACAAGAATTAAAAACCAACAGAAGTGGTGCGATGTAATATACAAGATTTTGCAGGTTTTTTTTATATTGAGGTAGCTTTATTTCCAAAAGAAATTGTGAGAGTGCTGGTGGAAAGAACTATATATCATACATTATTAACAAATCAAAATATAGAAAGTTAGGCAAAATTCCTACCATAAAGAAAAATTGACATAAAACATGCACTACAAATCTAAAACTCCTGAAATTTAGTGTTTGATTAAGAGAAATTTGGGTACCAGAGAAAAATTTATGAAAACATTTTGAGCTTTAATGTGTAAATTATAGCTGAAAAGAATAATAATTTTCTTGTTTGCTGGTAAATTTGCTCTAGACAAGCAGTACCTCTTTTATTGAAAGATTGTTTTACTTATTTGGTCATCAATCCTTAAAGGTTCTATTTCCATACACTGTTCTATTTCCATTCACTGACCTAATGAGACTTCTGAGTGTGTCAGGTTTCAGAACATGACTACATTTTTAATGACATCATCCGTAGAGCACAGTACAGAATGATGCAATTGATTTATTTTGAATACCTAACCTCAACTTAAGTGGTACACATGAAATTTTGTCAGGAAGAAAAATCTAGCTCGTCTATTTAAAAATAAATAAAATAATCAAGTAGCCCTCAAATTAGATCAGTTACATTTGAACTGAGTTTTTTTCATTGAAAGTATTTTTATGAATATAGTTCTATATTAAAATTACACAAAATTGTAGGAGACTTTTTTGAAACTCACCTAATGCTGTTCTTGCTGGTGTAGCATCTTTTTTGATCCAGAATGATACCCAGGATAAAACCACAGTCAGTATACAAGGAATATATGTTTGAATAGTGAAGTATCCCATTCTTCTACTCAATTCAAAATATATAGTCATGACAACATAATCACCTGTAATGAAGTATTGTCAAAATTAATACAACTTTCTTGTGTTAAAATAATTCAAGGAAATAATTTATAACTTATTTTGTTAAGTGAATGACTTGATAAAAGTATTCAAGTACAGCATTTATCAAATTGGGGAAAGAGTCAAAATTCTGGTGCTTTGAAACTTAATTTTTATTATATCCATGGCTGTGTGAAGTATTTTACTGTAAAAGATAGAAAAAGATACATAGTATTTGATATGTGTGATAGACATGCACATTTATTCTATGCCATTATTCTACACCATTTATTCAGGCCATTACTCAGTGAGCTATTATCACTTCTGTCTAGCTGTATTGTACATGTTTAAGAACAAGGATAACAGAAAACTCACCCCTCAAGTAGCTTCATTCTTGGTTTGCTCTTTCAATAGTAACAGACCTATACATAAACTTTCATATCTAAACTTCTCTAACAAATTTATATTTCCATTTTTGCAGTATGAATTCAAGCTTATCAGTCACTATAATGCTTTACTTAATATTTTTATATTTATCTTATCCCTTCATGATTATTCAGAAAATAAACAGAAGAAATCATTTTATGGACACTATTTCCTCTTTACTAAAGCAAAGCCACACATAAAAGAGTTGGGATTAATAGAGATGTTACTGGAAATTTCATAAGATTCCATGAGGGGCTGGGAGAATGTGCATGCCTAATACATTGTTTATTTTATTCCAAAGTTGCCTCTACCCATGTCTTTTCTAGGTGATCTTCTGAAGAACTGTGTCTCTCTCCTTTCTCCCATTTGACCTCCGTCCTTCAACCTGCTGGATTCAACCTTCTGGCACCTGAAATTCACGATGACCAGAAATGAGCTGTTATCTCTATCACACCAATACCTTCTCTTAGTTTAGGTCCTCCTTTCATTTATACAAAGTGGGAACCTAGAAACCATTTCTGATTCATTTCCCCTTCTTCAACTTCTATATAGTCCCCAGTTCCTCTTCCTACCTAGCCCATGTACTATTTACCAAAGCCCCTGGCTTGTCTCATAACAACCTTCATTACTCTGGATCATTCTCTGTTCTGTCACCAAAAGGATCTTTCCAGAACACAGCATCTTGCTACTCCTGTACAACCATCAAAACTTTATAATGGAGAGAATAAGATGGTGGAGGAGTAGGTGGACATGGAGTGCATCTCCCTCCATGGATACATCAGGAATACACCTTCAGACACAGAAGTGCTTGCAGAACACCAGCTGCGAGTGGGCAGGAGCACCTGACCAGTGGAAAATAATATATAGAACCAGATAAAACTCAGTAGAATGAAGGAAGTAGGGAGAAAAAGACAAGAGTTAGTAGGACTGGACCTGCCCCTGGCAGGTAGGGGAACTGAAGCAGGGGGTTGATCTCCACATTGGGGCAACTGTTTGGGACAGAGGAGAAATAGTTGAGGTTGAATGTGAAGCAGCTGATCTGTGACAGTCTAAATGGAATGAGAGTCACGCAGACAATCCTTGCCACAGCCATACATAACCCAGTCAGGGACGCGGGTCCCTTAGAAGGCACAGCAGCTGGGAGCTGGAGTGTGGGGATTGTAGAGGGATCGAGGGGGAGGTCTGCAGTTGATGGTGGGGAGACAGCCCCAGGGGACACATGGGAGGAGACTGTGGTGGGAAATGCCTGTGGAGGAAAGCCAGGCCTCCTTGGAGGCAAGGTGATACTGCTGAGTCTGTAGGGTGGGGCCATCCCTTTAGCTTCTCTCTCCCACAGGCCAGCACCAGCAGCTGAACAACAGAGAGGCTGGCCCTTCAAGCCCCTGACAGTGCTGAGCAAGAGAAGGACCCAAGTCAGGGCGCCCTCTAAAGGCCTGAAAAAGTGGGGCAATGGAGAAGGACTAGCCGGAGAGCACCACCTTCCAGAGGCTAGAAGACTCTGAAAGGGCCATAGCTCCTGCGGTTGAGGCAGTCTGTGTCCCTGCACACTTGGCGCCACTGTGCCACCCTCATGTTCAGTCCTCACTGGGGCAGAGCTGCCACAGACTAGAAAAAGCTCTAATAACACCATGTCTACTGTGACAATAGACATCAGTGCTCCTGCATAGCCGGCATTGCCAGGGTTCCTGTGATCCAAGCAACCGCGCCACCTCCATGCATGATCTCTACTGGGAAAGAACTGCCAGAAGCTAGAAAGAGTCCTGCATCTATGCAAACGGGGTCACCTTGGTTGCATCCAACTCTTTAAGACCCTGTGGACTGTGGTCTGCAGCCTTTTCTGCCCAGTAGATTCTCCTGGCAGGAATACTGGAGTGGATTGCCATACCCTTCTATAGCACGATATTTCCGGCTGCCAGCTCTCTTGAGTACCTAGTGCTGCCAGGGCCTCTGTGACCTAAGCAGCTGTACCAACTCCACACCTGGCCCTCACTGGGGCAGAACCAGGTCCTTCAGGGCATCCTCAGGAGCAGACTCTTCTGGATGACCCACATCCAGAAGTAGAGATAAAGCTATAGTTGAAACCCAGGGTCAGTGTGGCTAAGGAAGAAGACCTCTAACCTTCCCACCCACTGTACAAACTAGATTAAATCCACACAATCAACTAGGAAGACTCTGTCTGTGGAATATGTAAAAGGACAATGAGAGTTCTCACAAAAGAAAATGCGCTAGTTCTGACACCTGTGGACATTGAAGGCAAGAATACACAGGAATAGGACCAGATTAGAGTCTGAGCAGACCCCACAGCAGGTCCAGAGACCAGCCCAGTGTTGAAAGGCATCCCAGGGAGGTAAGGTGGACTGTGACTCCAGTGAGGGAATGGGTGCTGACAGCAGAGACCCAAGAAAAATATTTTTTATATTTTGACTTGTTCTGTAGTTGCTTCTGGATGTTCCCTCTGCCCCCTTTTCATTCTGTTGTAGTTGATGGTTTTTACTAGTACTATTAAATCTATTTAAACTTTAGATAATTTTTTTAAAATCACACTTCTTATTTCTGTTATATACTTCTGCCTCTGCATTAGCCTTTTGTAGTTCTGTGGGATTTTCCTTTTTTTTTTACTTTTTCTTCTCTCTTTTTAAAAAATTTTAAAATTTATTGTTATTTTTTTCCACATTTATTCCTTTGTTTGTTTTTCCTACTGTTCTTTTCCCATTGTAGTTAATCTTTACTTTATATAAATCTTCTTTATCTACTTCTGCTTAGCTTTGCATTTATATTCTTTGTTTCTTTTTCTCACCATATTTGTCAGTTTATTTTATTTTTTTTGTTTTATTCCCCAGTTGGCACCTTACTTTAGTTCTGTTTTCCAGTTTGCAATTTAGTTAGTTTTATTCTTAATTGGTGGATATAATTTTTTATTTCCTTTGTTTGCAAGGTCATTCTATTATACTTTATTTATCTTTTTTGTACTTTTGGTTTTGCTTATGGGTGTGTATATATGTGTGTGTACATTCCATTATTTTAGTTATTATTTACCTGATTTTGTAATTGCCATTTATCTGGGATGCACCTTTTGCTTCTCAGTTTTGTATGTTTGTTTTAATACCATTTACTGCCATAACAAACCACCTGTGGAATCTCTGTTCCTGGCCAGAGCCCAGGCCCTGAGACTTTGGAGTGGGTGTGCTGACTCCAAGTCCATAGATTACCAGAGAACTTCTGACCCTAGGGAATATCAAATAGTGAGAACACCCACAAAGGCAACCACTTGTGTGCAAGACCTGGCACCACCCAACTGCCAGTGGCACCCTGTGCAGGACGCCTCATTCAAACAGCAAACAAGATGAAAAGACAAACCCAACCATCAGCAGACAGGGTTATCACCTCACCCAGCCATGCCCATCAAAGGGAACACAAACGCAAGTCACAGCCTACCTGAAACTTACACAAACCACTGAACCAACCTGACAAGGGCAAAAACCAAAAGGAAGAAAGAACTCAACATCAGAGCCTGGGAAAAGGAGGCCTCAAACATGATAAGTTAAAAATAAATAAATAATGAAAAGGTAGAGAAGTAATGTGCAAATGAAGGAATGATCTAGAAACATGTAAGTCCAAATAAATAAAGAGGAAATAGGCAGACTACCTGAAAAAGAATTCAGAATAATGATAGTAAAGATGATCCAAAACCTCAAAAAATAAAATAGAGAAAATGCAAGTATCAATTAACAAAACCTATTAAAATAAAAGAACAAACATACAGAGACAAACAGCACAATTACTGAAATTAAAAATACTCTTGAAGGAATCACTAGCAGAACACCTGAGGCAGAAGAATGGAAAAGTGAGCTGAATGATAGACTGGTGGAAATAACTGCTGAAGAGCAGAATAAAGCAAAAAGAATGAAAAGAACTGAGGATAGTCTCAGAGACTTCTGGGACAATATTAATTGCACCATCATTCAAATTATAGGGGTCCCAGTAGAAGAAGAGAAAAAGAAAGAGTATGAGAAAATTTTTGAAGAGATTATAGTTGAAAATTTACCCAAATTGGGGAAGGAAATAGTCAATCAAGTCCAAGGAGCATAAAGTATTCCATACAGGATAAACCCAAGGAGAAACACACCAAGACACATACTAATCAAACTAACATAGATAAAACACAAAGAAAGAATACTAAAAGTGGCAAGAGGAAAACAACAGGTAACATACACGGGAAACTCCATACATTTAACGCTGATCTGTTGGCAGAAACTCTTCAGGCCAGAAGGGAATGTCAGGTTACATTTAAAGTACTGAATGGGAAAAAAACCTGCAACCAAGATTACTCTACCTGGCAAGGATCTCATTCAAAATTGATGGAGAAATCAAAAGCTTTACAGACAAGCAAAAGTTAAGAGAATTTAGTACCACAAAATCAGCTTTACAACAAATGTTAAAGGGACTTATAAAGTCAGTAAATACAAGAGAAGAAAAAGATCTACAAAAATAAACCCCAAACAATTAGGAAAATGGCAATTGTAACATATATATTAATAATTACTTTAAATGTAAATGGATTAAATTCTCCAACCAAAAGACATAGACTGGTTGAATGGATAAAAAAACAAAGCCCACATGTATACTGTCTATAAGAAACCCACTTCAGACCTAAAGACACATTTACACTGCAAATGAGAGGATCAAAAATATATTCCACTCAAATGGAAATCAAAAGAAAGCTGGAGTAGCAATCATATGAGAAAAAATAGATTTTAAAATAAAATATATTACAAAAGATAAGGAAGGACACAACATAATGATCAAGGGATCAATCCAAGAGGAAGACATAGCAATAGATGTTGTAAATATCTATGCACCCAACATAGGAGCTCTTCAATACATAAGACAAACACTAACAGACAAAAAGGAGAAATTGACAGTAACACAATAATAGTAGGAGACTTTAACATCCCACTTACACCAATGGTCAGATTATCAAAAAGAAAATTAGAAAGGAAACACAATCTTAAATGACACCTTAGACCAGATGGATCTCATTGATGTCTTCAGGGCATTCCACTCAAATGCAGAAGAATGCACTTTCTTCTCAAGTGCACATGGAATATTCTCCAGGATAGACCACATCTTGGGCCACAAATCAAACCTCAGTAAATTTAAGAAAATTGAAATCATATCAATCATCTTTTCTGACCACAACACTATGAAACTAGATACCAATTATAAGAAAATGACTATAAAAAACACAGACATATAGAGATAAACAAAACAGTTCTAAATAATGAGCAGGTTACTGAAGAAACCAAAAGGGAAATAAAAAAATTCTAGAAACAAATGACAATGAAAATACAACAATTCAAAACCCCATGGGATGTAGTAAAAGCTGTCCTAAGAGGGAAGTTTATAGCAATACAATCTTACCTAAAGAAATAAGAAAATCATTGAATAGAAAATCTAACTTTACACTAAAACAACTGGAAAAAGAAGAAGAAGAAAAACAACAAAAACCCCAAAGTCAGTAGAAGGAAAGATATCATAAGGATCAGAATAGAAATAAATGAAAAAGAAATGAAGGAAATAGTAAAGATTAATAAAACTAAAAGCTGGTTCTTTGAGAAGATAAACAAAATTGACAAACCTTTAGCCAGACTCATCAAGAAAAAAAGAGAGAAGAATCAAATCAGCAAAATTAGAAATGAAAAAGGAGTGGTTACAACAGTCAGTGCAGAAATACAAAGGATTATAAAAGACTATTATAAGCAACTGCATGGAAATAAAATGGACAACCTGAAAGAAATGGATAGATTTCTAGAAAAGTTCAATTTTCTAAGACTGAACCAGGAAGAAATAGAAACTATGAACAACCCAACTACAAGCACTGAAATCGAAACTGATCAAAATTCTCCCCAAAAACAAAAGCCCAGGGCCAGATGGCTTCACAAGTGAATTCTATCAAACATTTAGAGAAAACCTAATGCCTATCCTTCTAAAACTCTTTCAAAAAATTGCAGAGGAAGGAACACTTCCAAACTCATTCTAAGAGGCCATGATCACCCATGATACCAAAACCAGGCAAAGACAACACAATAAATGAAAATTACAGGCCAATGTCACCGATGAACATAGATGCAAAAATCCTCAACAAAATTCTAGCAAACAGAATTCAACAAACATTGAAAAGCTTGTACACCATGATCAAATTGGGTTTATTCCATGGATGCAAAGATTCTTCAATATATGCAAATCAATCAATGTGATACACCATATTAACCAATTGAAAGATGAAAACCATATCACAATCTCAATAGATGCAGAAAAGCCTTTGACAAAATTCAGCACATACTTATGATTAAAATTTTTCCAAAAAAAAAGGGGGGGCCTAGAAGCAACCTACCTCAAAATAGTAAAGGCCATATATGATAAACCCAGAGTAAACATTATTCTCAATGGTGAAAAACTGAAATTATTCCCCAGCAGGAACAAGACAAGGGTGTCCACTCTCACAACTATTATTCAATGTAGTTTTGGAAGTCCTAACTACAGCAATCAGAGAAGAAAAAGAAATAAAAGGAATCCAGATAAGAAAAGATGTAAAATAGTCACTGTTTGCAGATGACATGATACTATACA